TTCACTGTTTACTTTAGTATGAGTTTCTGCGGAGCACAGTGGATTTAGTGCTCACGCCCCACATTATTCATGTTTTTCAGGTCACAGGGTCGGAGCCGAGGAGTGAGCTGATGGTCGGTTCAAGACTTTGTATATATGTGTAAAAATGTTTTGGCGACGCTACGTTTTTCCGCTGATCATGACTATTTATCGAACTTAGCTTTTGATTCGACTTTTAGTCGGTTAGTATGTTATGTTAAACCGTTTGTTTTTCTTTAAAACTAAAAAGACGGTTTTTGGATAAAGTCATATTTTATGGTAGCACTCTGAATCAGTATTTCGCAACTTAAACATTTTTATTTTAAAATGGTTTGCGAAAAATGCACTCTGATATTCATGTCAAGGCGGGGTGTTACAGACACGTTCTGACTTTTTCGACTCACAAAGTATATTTTAGTCACAAGTAGCTTTAATAATTGTTGTTTTTTTAGTTTTGACTCCCCAAATTATCTATCTCATATACCCTTTAACTGTATGTATAGATTTGTACACACACTAAATATTGAAAATTACACACAGTAGGCCTAGATTGGCTTTTGTAATTGTTCATATAATGTATGGATGAGTGAATGTCCGATAAAGCTGGTAGTTTTTTGTGATGTGGGCTTCTGTAAAAATGGACAATTTGGCCAAAGATTTTGATTTTTTTTGCCACATTTCAAGTTATGATTGAATGGCCTTGTGAATTTTGTTGAATTGAAGTTTTACTTTTGTACTAATTTCTGATTCTTGGGAATATTTATCTCTTTTCGTCTTTTCATGTCATTTGTTATTTGCTTCTCTTTTTATTTGGTTTTGATCATAATTTTATAAGGTCCCTCAGTGTAGTAGTTTAGAGAACTCTTGAGATTGTTTCTTATAACCAACTAATATTATCAGGCTCATATGATCATGTATTTCTCTATTTATTTATGATTTTTGCTTTTTTGATTTTTGATAGTTTTCTTCTTTTCATTGTCACGATTGAGGAGACCCCTTTGTGTAGTGCTGACTGAGTGTTTCTCATTAAAGTAGAAGCTATATCATACTGTGCATTGTGATGCTTTTTTTTCGGGTTTTTTTTTTTTTTTTTTTTTTTTTTTTT